AGTTTATTTTCTTTCCTAATCCACCTGATGTTTGGTGTATATTATGAAGTTATAATCTGATGTTTTACAAATAGGTATATACACTTCATTAAATTTACCCCTCCTCACTATGTTCTCATGCTTTCTTTGCAATATTTTTCTTATACTAACATGTCTTTGGACTATTATTTTATCAGTTTAGAGTAAAAATGTAATATACACTTTCAATACTTTTAGCTTTAAAATGTGGCTTCATACCTAATACTACAATTCTTTACTTTTTCAAGATTCCTAGCTTTATTTTGATGAAATTAAGGACAATTTTATCAATTCTTGGAGACTATGATTGGTTTACCTTTAACTAATGCATTTATCTGAAAGAAGGGATGTTTAAAATATTTATGAGCTAGGCACACAATGTATAATTAAAAGTCTTTTCCTCTCAATAATTAAGACTCATTTATAGTATGGGCCCTGAGCCATCAAAACTGTTAAGTTGTTCTTCTTATGACAGGTCCTGAAAACTAACACATACGAAAAATGAAATCTTTGACAAGCAGTCTTGTAAAGGACCTATGTATGCAAAACTTACATTTTAGAGATAAAAATGTACGCTTAATCAGTTTTGCCATTTTCTAGTCTGTCTCATATAAAATGGGGCTAAAGAGCACCCAGAAGCATTTAATAGGTCAGGTAAGAGGACATTTGTGGCAGGCTCTCAACTTTAGGGGTGAAGAGGTCTCCCTTTTCCCTCAGTCATATCCGCTACATGCAAACCATAGCAAGTAACAGAAACTGTTAATATTTTTGGCACTCAGCCAGGAACTGACTGGAAAACTGTTCTTCCTCAGTAGACACAAGCTGAAGCTAGTAATACCCTAGAGTGTGATAGTGTTTATTACATTATATTCCTTCTGAAGTTCCCTCAATTTATTTGTATAATCTGTTATATTTTCTGCTTTTGTCTACCTTCTTCCCCTCAGATACTTCCAGAGAATTACTCTTATGCTTTAAGTTACTACTTACACACAACACTTGGCTACAAAGTCATCAATTAATTTAAATTTAATTATTTGAGTGCTGGTAGCAAACAAACACAAAGGAATAATTTGTGGAGACAAGACACTGGTTTTTGAATGGCCGATTTTAATATTAGTTCCAAATGCATTCAGTCATATCCATGTTCATCCAGCTTCCATAACCACACTTGCCAGGAAAGTCTTGCATTTATTTTACATTTGACATGAGAAATGATTTTTACTTTTCTAAACCGCCTGGGAATGTCCAATTCAGTGGACTCTACGGATTTAATTAAAACACTGTTTCCTCCACCCCTGCCCCACACTTAGTGTAAAATAAGAGACCCAGTGAACAAATTCTATATAAACTCTGAAAACAGGTATTAGCAATAGGATACATTTTGGCAGGTACTGTTCTAGAGTGATGAAGTATCACAGCTATAAAAGATAATGTGGGGCCTTCCTGGTGGCGCAAGGGGTTAAGCACCACACTGTGGAGCAATTCACAGTCCCTGCAGCACCAGTTCAATTCCTGGCCGGCCAGGGAGCAACCCACATGGCGCAGCAGACCTCTCCTCGCCTGCTGCTCCCCTCAGCGGTATACTTTGGTCATTCTGCATGTTCTGTTCCCTACCCTGTCTCTGGTATATCCCCTTATCCCCCACATCTCTGACCTGCACCCCATCTCTTGTATGCATAAATAAATTGTTAAAAAAAAAAAAAAAAACCTTACGGATCTTTAAAAAAAAGAAAGCTAATCGGTCCAGTTTTAGTGTGAGCCTTAAGGAAATGGACTACTCCAAAGCCCAGTTTTTATATCTGTGGTGGAGGAGGAAAAAAATCCCTCAAGACCTGCCAGTATGAATGTAAATCAGATGCACTCACAATATAATAAGATTGCTAAGATGAAAACTTTGAATAATTTTCAATTTTGCTAAATTAAAAAAATCCATATAATTGAAAGCAAATGGGCATGATATTGACAACCACTGACTCCAGGTGAGAAATCTGGAGTACACAGTACACCTGTACACAGTACATAGTACTATGCACTATGTTCATCCAGCTTCCATAGGACATTGTGTTCATTGTACTATTGTTTTTAACTTTCCTGGAAATTTGTAAATTTTCAAAATAAGATGTGAATAAAGTCTGTAAAACAAGACATTGTGAACAAAGTAAAAAAATACAAGACATAGATACAAAATGTGGATCACTGAAAATGTTTTAGAGTAAAGAAATAATGCCTTAACTCAAAGGTAAAATTCTTTCTTTGAAGAGAGCAAACATGGGAGAAACTTTTTACATTAAAAGAACAATGACATTTGAAGCCAATAGGGACAAAAGCACTATGTATAGGCTGCCTTCACTGATATCCTCTCCTGAGTTTTCAAACCAAGTATGTTGTTCTTGGTCCAACATTGGATGCCATGTTTAATCATACAAGCAACAGCAATCCACTTGATGATCAAATTATGAAGATGTGACATCTTCATTCAGGAGGGGCAGAATAACAAAGCTTGATAAAATGAAAATGTTTTCTAATTTTGAGGAATAAAAAGTTTTCTCAGTTGAATGCCTGAAAAACTGAAAATATGAATTTCCCATGTATCATTTAGGCTGCTGGTTGCATTTAAAAATAAAGTACATGGTTTTGATTCTGGTTTAAAACCTCAGCTAAAAGATAAAGCTTCCTATTTCTTATTAGATCTTTGGCTGAAGAGCGTCCATCAGATCAGCAAAAAGTAAGCATTTAAAAAAAAAAAACAAACAATTTATTACTTTGAGGTATGGGACAGCCAGCAGGATAGCAACCTCAAATCAGGTGTCTTTTAGTGAAAATGTAGAGTAAACACCATAGGCTGAGAGCAGTGCCAATATGGAGATGATCTTGTCTCAAACAAACCCAATGTTCCTCTTGTAAAGGCTCCCTTGGCCTTCCAGGGCCCCCCAGGGAAGGGCAGCACACCCCTCTCTCCCCATAGGAGGTGATGGGAAAGAGCCTACCAACAGTGGGCTGAGGAACAATCAATGAGCTGGAACAACCAATGAAGCAAGGACAGAGGCCAGTGCTCCTCAAGTGAAGGCACAGGGGACAAGGATGCAAGACTGTAGGAGGCTAGACATGGGATGATCCTAAGAGCTGTGGTCTTGATTTCTGGGGATAGTGCAGATTGCTGGCTGTAACACTCATCACAGACCTCACAAATTATCTTAATATGATTATTCCTCCCATACCCACTCTACCGTTTCTTAGTTTTCCATACTAATTACTGTTGATCGATCACACAAGAGAACTAAGAGCACAATGGAACAGTACAAAAACAAATTTTTTTTTTTACATGACAGCTCCATTTATTTTTTTAAATTTATTTTTAAACAATATTTGCTTCTCCCCACCCCCTCAGATTGAGTCCCCTAGAATTTCCTTCCCCAAGGCACCCATGCATCATCACCACAGTCCTCTGTGCTCCTCTCCCCGTCCCTCTGATCCTTCTCCCTCCCCTCCCCTGCAGTATGTCTCTGATTTATAACTGTTTTTGCTTTGTTGTGTTTTGTACCGTTATTTTTTTTACACTGATGTCTTATTTGGTTCCCCTATATTCCTGTTATAAGTGAACCCATCCAATATTTTTCTTTTTCCTTCTGACTCATTTCACTGAGCATAATTCCTTCTAGCTCCATCCACGTTGCTGCAAATGGCATGAGTTTATCTTTTTTGATTGCTGAGTAATATTCCATTGTGTATATATGCCACATCTTCTTGATCCAGTAATCTGTTGTTGGGCTTTTGGGTTGTTTCCAGGTTTTACCTATTGTAAACAGTGCTGCAACAAACATAGGGGTACAGGTGTTCTTTTGAATCAATGTTTTTGTGTCCTTTGGGTAGATCCCTAGGAGTGGAATTGCCAGGTCATATCGTAGCTCCATTTTTAGTAGACTGAGGAACCTCCAGATAGCTTTCCTTAGTGGTTGGACCAGTTTGCACTCCCACCAGCAATGTAGGAGAGTTCCTTTTTCACTGCATCCTCGCCAACATTTGTTGTTGCTTGTTTTTCTGATAAGTGCCATTCTCACTGGTGTAAGGTGGTATCTCAATGGTTTTAATTTGCATTTTCCTGATGATAAGGAATGTTGAACATTTTTTCATCTGCCTGTTGGCCATTTGCATTTCCTTTTTGGAGAAATGTCTTTTAAGTTCTTCTACCCATTTCTTGACTGGATTGTTTATTTTGTTTTTGTTGAGCCATGTGAGTTCTTTGTAAATCTTTGTGATCAGTCCCCTATCATTTGAATGGAGTGCAAAGATTTTTTTCCCAGTCAGTGGGATATCTCTCTGTTTCGGTTAATGTCTCTTGCTGTACAGAAGCTTTTCAGCAAAAACAAATTCTTAAACAGCTTGATGGAAGGTTCTGGGTGACAGGGGAAATAGACAAATATTTGGAAAAACTGAGTGCTACCTTGAAACTATAATAATAAACAAAGGTATCTTAACATTTTTAACAATCTAAAGTGACAACCTTTCTAATAAACCTAAGGTGATTCACAGAATCAACTAGATACTGTCATTTTTTTTTTAAATATACATTGTGAGAAGCAAAATTCAGTCAAATATCTTCAATCATATCATATTTTTTAAGTTCCCTGAGATGACATACACACTTCAAGCTACACAGCACAGTGTTATAGCCAGAAGTAAATAATTTATTTATTTATTTATTTATTTATTTTTTTTTGGGGGGAAGGCTTTATTTTTTTTTTAAAGATTTATTTATTTATTTATACGAGCACTGGGTACAGTCAGAAGCGTGGGAGGGTGAGAGAATTCACCAGAGCCAGAGCGGGGAGCAGAGCAGGCAGAAGGACCGAAGTACACTGCTGAGGGGAGCAGCGGGCGGCAGGAGAGGTCTGCGCGCCATGTGGGACCCTCCTCTAGTGGCCGGGGAGCAGCCAGGGATCAAACCGGCGCTGCAGAGGCTGCAGGCAGCTTCGCAACCCAGTGCTCAACCGCTGCGCCACCGGGGAGGCCCCAGAAGTAAATAATTTAAAAGGGTGATTTTTACAGTATAGTCAAATTCCTATTTCAACACATACAACCTACAAGATAAATTACATCTTCATAATTACTTGTTGCTATAAAGTTATTCGAATCCTGAAAGTTACTTTGAAAATAGTTCTCAAAGTAATTTTGGCACAGGTCAAATCTGAAGAGTATTTTTAAGTCCCTGAGCTCTTTTAACAGGCTGATTCTTGCATTTACCTCTTCCCTGGCTGCCTGGGCCACCTCGCCCCACAGTGCTGGTCCTGGCCTCAAGGTAACTGTAGGTCATCATTCAACACCATAACCTTTCTAGCAACTGTGCACTGCAGAAGACATGTAGGTTTTCTAACACGATGATTTAGAGTTCTTGGCCCAAACAGCAACCCCTACAGATTTTTCCTTAACAATGTAGAAGAATCACATAGAATCACATATATCCTTCAAATTTTTAAGACTGCCTACAATGGTCAGTGTTTCAGTGTCTCCAGGGCTTTATGCCTCAGATGCTCATCCAAACACTGGATGGCAAAGAGGTCGACGTCCGTGTCAAACTTATTGGCAAACAAGTGGTGTACATGCAGCATCCAGTTCAAGTCCCCTGCTCCAAAAATGCACACAGAACGCAGGTGGGCCCCATTGCAGGGTGGATAGGGGGCACCCTTGGATGTGTCACCTTCAAAGTACTGCCACTTGACAAACCTAGCGATTGCCTGCATGTCAGACATATCATACTTGTGGCTTAAGGACAGTGACCCAGGGGCTTCAGGGATCCTCTGAATAGTGGCCCAGAGGTATTCATCCGGGCTGTATGTGTCCTTTGCCCACTCTATGAATTTTTGGATTTTTTCATTCTTGAGTACGTAACCCACATACTTCCTACTGACTACAAAATAGGCACTGCCTGAAAACAGAGGTGTTTCCAGAGGAGGGGGCATTTTGTCAGCTCCCGTGTTTGTCACTTTCCCATTAACGACTGTATGGCGCTTTTTCCACCTTTCTTTTTTATGAGGTGGCATTTTCTCCGTTTCTAGGTTGTTTTCACCCATTAATGACTTGAGCTTCTTGACAATTTCCAGGTTGGTTTTAATAGGAAAATCCATGCCACAAAGATTGATCAAGTACTTCCAGTCTGCACTCATGCTGTAGAGGTCTTGCATGCAGTTGAGGTCAGCCTGAACACGACTCCACGACGCATACACCACGTTCTCCAACTGACTGGCCACAAAGACATTATTGAAACAGGATGCAATGCTCCTCACCGCAGCCAAAAAGGAGTCCTCTGATTTTTTGTCCACGTGGATGCAATAGAAATTCTGAGGCATATAGATGGCTCTTAGGAGCCTGTCAAGCATTTCAATTTTGTGATGAACTACTATAGAATATGCTATTGGAAACTCTGCCTCTTCTTTACTAAGAGGTTCTATAATATATTTGCGATTCTTGATGAATGAAGGACAATTCTTGGTCATGTTTATATAGTCATAGTTTGTCCACTGAGGGCGATTTCTAAATTTCACTGTTAGAATCTCAAGCTTTACCTTTTGAATTTCATCCACATCACCCTGTAAAACTTTAGTGCAATTAATGTTACTAACAGGATTCTCTCCACCCAGCTCCAAATGTCCAACGCTGACAAATTCGGGCTTTTGGTGAATTATTAAAACAGAGAAGGCAATGAGGAAAAAAACAAGGAGCAAGAAGCAGTATTTCCTGGGATAAGAAAAGAGTCTCCTTCGCAGCAACTTCCACAGCATTTCAGACAACAATCAGGGACTTTTCTTTATTAAGGACAGATTCAAGGTTTCAAGCACCAATGGTTTTTCCTCTGTCCTGTCTTTGAGAGTTGTCAGTTTGTATTTATCTGACATGCATAGGCATCTTGAAATGGAGAACAGCACTAAAAGAAAAACAGAAACAAATATAAATATAGCCTTTCACAACATCTTCCTCTTGGTTATGAGATCATGTGTTTAAAACAAAAAGTGGGGGGCCCTCAGAGGAAAAGAGGTTTTGTTCTAGGAAACCCAGTCTCTTTAGTATTAATGCCAGACTGGCTTAAAAAAAAAAAAAAAGCTAAGTACAAGAATGTGCTGGGATATCCTACAGGTGTAAAACACAACTTAAGACCTAAGCTATAATTTCTGAATTCTCCACAGTTGCTGATTTCTTGATCCTGTGCCACTTCTAATTAGAACTCCTTGCCTTTATCTCCTTACTAATCTGAGTTCCTCCTGACACATCCAACAACATCCACCAGAGTGGCATAGCAGCCCTGAACAATGGAAGAGGATCAGGATCATACATATTTGTCAGGTTAGGACTGGGGATATCCAGGGAGATTCAGAAATGGCTGTGTCTTCTAAGAATCTTTGAAGGAAGACTAAATGGACCAGAGAGGTGCAAATGAAATCTGGCCACTTCTGGGGCTGTTTTGGGTTGACCTGACTTAGTTTGGTTCTATAGCAGGCACCACAGTAAGAGAAGGTACTGCATAATGCAAAAAGAGATGCAAACTTACATTTCCTGCCTCGGTCATAACAGGTTATTATAAACCTTGTAGAAAAACAACAGTAGTACACAGATTGTAATTTATGACAGACTTTCTCTGTACTCAAATTCCAGAATCGCAATGTACCTGTATTATATAGAATGCATACAAACATTCAAATAGTTTTCAAAAATCAATTGGTTCTACAACTTGTAAGTGTTGTTCCAACAGAGTCAATTGTCTGCCTACCAGATTTATACCCAAAGTATATGTCAATATCATTGGAAAATTCAACCCATTGAAACGAATCTTGCACTTGACTAAGATGCTCATCTCATCTTCCACCTATCCTGACCACCTCCCCCGCTTCAAAACTCTATTAGGAAACAAACATTTGGGAGATTCTGCTGAAATACTTAGCCACTAAAACAATAGAGCAATTCCTGCCCCTCAATTGATCCAAGGAATTTGAGGAAACCACTGCCTAGTTACTAGGTGACCTCTAAGCATACGGAACAGAGAATTGCAAAGAATATAGATGTTAGAAAATTAATCCAGGCAAGTCACTAAACAAATAGCAACAACAACAAACTTTGCATCAGGCAGGGGCAGAAACCTGATTACCAGAATTGACACATTATAAAATATCCACTTTCAAACAAACAAATCACAAAACACATAAAACAAATAAACACGAAAGTCTGGCCTGTACATAGAAAAAGAAGTCCATAAAAACTGCTAAGGAAACTCAGGCATTGAACTTGACTAAACAAAGACTGTAAGCAGCTATTAGAAGTATTTCTAAATCCTGCATTGACAGGCCTGTCATTTTAGAAAGCTGCTTCTTGACAGAGTGATCAACCCTGTAACATCTTCCTTTTAAACTACCAGCATTTATTTATATTTCATTTATAATCTTGAATTTTATTTAAGCAAGTGTTGCTAAAGATTAAATCTTTGTCTTGAATGCTAAAAATCTAGTAGGCACAGGACCAAAGTAGCCGATTTTGGTGAAACATATTTTTGTACTTGGCATATTAGAACTTGACAAATTGTATAGAATTTATCAAATGTGAAAAAGGCAGTTCACTTGTCCCTTATAATGTGTATTAAAAAGGAAATAGGATTGATTAAAAAAAGAACTAAAGTATGAGAATATTTAAACAAATTGAGAATTTCAATGAGACAGAAATTATAAAAAGAACCACAGAAACTTGGAAACTGCATCCACAGTAACTGAATCGAAAAAATTGACTAGAGGGAATCAATAGCAGATTTGAACCAATAGAAGAGCATCAGGGAAATTGAGAACAGTTCAAGTGAGAGTATCCAGTTTGAGGAACATAAGGGGAAAAAAAAGAAAACAGTCTCAGAAGCCAGTGAGAAACCATGAAGCAGATCAAATGCTAACAGGAGTCCCAGAAAGGGCGGAAAGGAAGACAAGGTGGGGGAGATACAAAGGATAAAAGGAGGAGGCTATAAAAATATTTATGAACAGCTGGAAACTTCCCAAATTTGTTTTTTTTTAAAGATATTTATGCATACAAGAACTAGGGTACAGGTCAGAGGGTGTGTGTGTGTGTGTGTGTGTGTGTGAAGATTCACCAGAGATAGAGTGGGGAACACAACAGGTGGTTTGACTGAAATACACCACAGAGGGGAGCAGTGGGCAGCAGTGGACGAGACAGGAGGGGTCTGCTATGCTATGTGGGTTAGCTCCCTGGCTGGGGATTGAACTCATGCTCCAGTGGCTGCAGATAGTTTCACAGTGCTGAGACTCAACCCCTTCCACCACAAGTAAGGCCCAGGCAGTAAAATTTTACAGGTTATATCATTTTATGAATTTGTCAAAACCCACAGACCTGGTACAATATTAAAAGACACTCCTCTTGTGGGCCTTCCTGGTGGTGCAGACGGTTAAGTGCCACACTGTGAAGCTGTCCGCAGCCTCTGCAGCACGAGTTCGATCCCTGCCAGCCGGCAAGAATCCCACATGGCAAAGCAGACCTCTCCTGACTCGCCCGCTGCTCCCCTCAGCAGTGTATTTTGTCAGTCTACCTGTTCTGTTCCCTGCCGCTCTGTCTGTGGTGAATCCTCTCACCCTCCCGCGCATCTGGCCTGTACTCTTATTCTTGTATAAAAATAAATAAATCTTAAAAAAAAAAAAGACTCCTCTTGAGAAAAGTAATTATACAAGAAGCCCTGAAAATGATTAAGAAAACTTCAAATCAGAAACTATGAAGTCGAGGAGGTGTGGATAACATATTTAATGTACAGAAAGACAGTCAACAAAGAATTTTATAGTCAGCAAAATTATCATTATAAATCAATGACAAATCAAAACATTCCCAATGTCTTACAGTAATTCAGCTCCACATCACAAATAGAGTAATAACAGTATTTACATAGAAAATGTAATTTTCTTTGTAACTTTTCCCATCTGATTTAAAAGGCAGCTGAATAAATAATTATAACAAGATGTTGACAGGCTTCTAATGTATAAAAAGGAATTTATATGGTAGTAACAGTACAAAGGAGGGTGAAAGAAGAGAGCTATATTGGAACAAAGCTCTTGAATATTACTGAAATTAAGTTGGTATTGACTGAATGCATTAAGACTATTTTTTTTTTTTTGTCATTCTAGGGCACCACAACTGACTGCCCTTGTGCAGAAGGCTCTGTGGTCTAAGTTAATTCTGCTGGCCTCTAACCCAATGAGTACTGCTACAGGGCTCCATTTCACCTCTCCAAGGACTATTGTTATGTGACCCAGAGGCTGCTGTGACTGGAGCAAAACACTACTGTGAATGATGCCAAAGCCAGGCAAGTATCTCAGAGGATCATGACTCAGCACAGGTGATCAAATGCCACCCTATGCAGGCTAAGAGAAGGAGCAGGAAGCAGAGATCCCAATGGGGGTGGAGTGATTTCCCCTCCATGGCCTCACCTCATCCGGGGTGCTTTGTCTCTGCCCCAACCAAAGGATTGCCAGCCTGGACAGTGTTCTCTGCTGGACTGCTGTGTGACTCACCTCAGTGAGCTGCCTAACTCCTTAAGGCCTTCCCATATAACAAATTCCTGAGGCTTAACAGTGCCTACCCCTCCAGACTGGTTAGAAAAAGCTCTTGAGGTCCCCCAGAGTTTAGCACCAAGACTATTAATACCACGCTCCACAGTTTGGCCTGTTAATGCCCAGAATTCAGCCAAGAAAACATAGGTAATAGGGGACATTTTATGACTCTGCTTCTTGTGTCCCCTCAGAAGGGAATGTTCTAAATGAAATATTACCAGCCTGATAATGTAATGAAAGAAAAAGAGGTCAAAACCCTGTCTCCCTTTTTTAGCCCCCACATGCCAGAGTCAGGCACAGGAGATGACAGAGAATATCTCAATTACGTTCACTGAATAAAGTCACTCTCCAGTGAAGTCCATGTTTCTCTACTAAAAATGCAATATGTATCCCTGTTCCACTTTGAACGTCAAAGAATTCCATTCCCAGTTCTCAACACTTGCAGCAAGCACAAACCTATCGAGAGAATATACTTAAAAGGATTATTTAAAGATGGAATGAAAGAAATTTTTTAACAGTCCAAACCCCTCAAACACAATGAATATAATGGAAGAAATGGCAACATTTTGAAACATCTGGGGGGAGGTGAATGCTAGCTGACTTGGGAAGCCTCAGAAAGCTGAATCCTACAGCACAGAGTGGGATTCCATCTCCTTACCCCCAAACCACCCCGCAAAAGACTCAGGAATTGGCTACACAGTTCCTTGGGAAGCAATGATGAAGTGGAGTTAAAAACTAAGAACAGGTTGAAAATCTATTTACAAGGCAGTTAAGAGCCCCAGGTACCTCCCCCAATTCATTATAAGCTAGCAACCACCCTCCCTGGGTGCAGCGAAGACTCTGGAAAATGGAAAACTGAAGGAACCTGACCTGGTGATTACAAAGCACAGTTGAGGGAAGGCGTACTGACCTGAAAACAGGGGTATTAAGTCAAACTTCCTTGTTTCCAGAATATTGAAAGGCAGGTGGATACCTGCTGTGTTTGTGCCTCAATAGAGGCCTACCAGATATCCAAGAAAAGCTCGAGGCCACAAAGAGATCAAAATAAACAGAAAAAACATGGAGACGGTATCAGCTAACCATTGGTATGTAATCAACCACAATCCTCAGCGACTTAGGACTTAGAACAATGATGACCTGTTATTTCCCACTACTTTAGGCTTGGTTGGGCAGTTGTTCTGGTTTCACCTGAGTTCCCCTAGATAGAGTCCTGTCTGGATTGGAGGTTTCATTGTAGCTTGTTAACACCTGTCGCTGGTACTGGATGTCTCCTCCTCCAGCTCCAGTAGGCTAGCCAGCTTCCTTACTGGCAGTCTCAGGCAGCACACCAAGAGAATAAAGAACAGTGCTGTCAAGGCTTCATGAAGTCTAACTTCCACAACATTCACATCACTTCTATTCATTCTGTTCATCAGAGAGTTACCAGGATTTGGGAGAAAATAAGGTTCTACCTATGAGTGGAAGAGAAGCAAAATCACAACACAAAGGGATATGTAAATTATAGTGGGAAGATGTTAAAAATTAATTTCCATGAGGTATTCTATTAACGGAGAAATTAAGATCAAGTAAAGACATGAAAATTCCACTAATGAAACCCTAGTATTATTATCTGCAGAGACATAAGTGAAAGAAACTACGGTAGTCATGAAATAAGAATAAGAGGCCACTGATTGCATCTGCACCCCAGTACAGTCAGCATGTGCCCAGGTACTGGGCCATGGTCCAGGAGGCTTGGGCACTGCTCAGGACTCAGGAATAAAACAGGTATCAGGCTTATGGCTGGAATTTTCTCTGGCAAGAGTAGTACGTGGTGAGATGAGCACCTTTCTAAATAATCCCATTTGTCGGTCTCTGATTAAAATCAAGGCCAACTGTGATGGTGAAGTAAACTGTCTTCTGAAAGTTCATGAAGTACAATCTACACAGCTTTGGGAACTAGATTCCTTTAAAGGAGGCCTTATTGCACTGAAGCTGGGAATGATGACTTTGTGGACCAAAATGGTCAAATGCACAGGGTCACATTATTTCAGGTACAAGACTCTCTTAAATTATACTCCAGAGTAAAACCATAAAGGAAAATGTCAGCCCTAACTGTTGGAGGAAGAACCGTTACCGTGTTTCTGTAAGTCTACATTCACGTTGGAATCTTTCCAAGAACTGGAATTGCTACCAAAACAGATAGTGATAATCTTTGGCCTAACAGATAATGCTATAATTAAGCCAGGCACTCACTCTTCTTTGCTGTTCTCTTTTTGCCCTGGTCAGTATGTGGGTATCACAGCCAAAATGACTGGTAACAGTTTTCAAGGCATAAAAAATGGAATTTAAAGGCCAGCCTGTTACTTACGGTCAGACTAAAACACATAGGAAACTTGAAACTATTCCAACTATGTGGCCAGAGTGACATGGAACTAGAGTGCCTAGATAAACAGATAGCATAGATACGACAGCATATGGACTCAAAGTATGGAGAATAAACCCAAAGCACAATGTAACCCAAATAAATGGCTCTGTACCTGAACATAAAATTGCTTAGCTAAGACCAGAGATTGCAAACTGCCTGCCCATAAGAACATCTGTAAAAATTTACTGTTCCATACATATTTCCATAATGGAAAGAGGAACTACCAAAAGATTTGAATGATAAAAAATATGTCCCAACGCAAAGCACTGTTATATTTGCTTATCCTCACTGGACATCAAAGTCTATTCTGTGAGCTTCCGTGAACAAGTTAGATCAGTAATTTAACCAGAAATTATATTTTCCTCCTCTAGCTACAACATTGCCATATTTGAAATCCTTGTTATTCGTTTCCTAAGTTAACGTGTGTTTTATAAATTTAACTTCCTTCATTAAAAAAAAGGACCTAGGGCCTTGCTGGTAGTGCAAGGGTTAAAGTCTCAGCACTATCAAGCTATCACCAGCTACTGCAGCATGAGTTCAATCCCCAACCAGGGAACTGAACATAGCACAGCAGACCTCTCCTGTCTCACTCACTGCTCCCCTCAGCAGTGTATTTCAGTTGATCCACCTATTCTGCTCCCCACTCTGTCTCTGGTGACTCCTCTCACCCCTGCCCCATCTCTGGTCTATACCCCAGTTCCTGTATGCATAAAGTAATAAAAGTCTTTTTTTTTTTTTTAAAGGACCTAATAGGGCCTCCCCTGGTGGCACAGCAGTTGAGCGCTGGGCTGCGAACCTGCCCGCAGCCTCTGCAGTGCCGGTTCAATTCCCGGCTGTTGGCGAGGGTCCCACATGGTGCGCAGACCTCTCCTGCCGCCCGCTGCTCCCCTCAGCAGTGTACTTCATCAGTCTGCCTGTTCTCTTCTCCACTACTGGCTCTGGTGAATTCTCTCACCCTCCCGCGCATCTGACTATACACAGTGCGTGTATAAATAAATAAATAAAATCTTAAAAAAAAAAAAAAGCACCTAATAATCAAGGTACCCAATATACAAAAAGAGGCAATAAAAATTCCCAGGATTATAGGGAAGAGAGATTCCAGGACATGTAGGGATTCCAGGAAGAAAAAAGTCAAATGGTTACAGAAGATCTATGTTGCACATGAATGTACTTCGAAGAGATTTTGACAACTAAGGTCAAGTTCAGAGTTGAATAAGTAAAATGTACATAGTAAACAAAAAAAAAATCAATGTAAGACATTATTTAAGAGGAAAAAAAAGGACAATGAGACAAACCATGGTGTGCTACTGAGCTCAGTTTATCTGTGGTCATAATGCATTGCCATTGTTGTCTAACAAAAAGTACGATAATATACAGTGAATTTCAAACCTATCTCCAGAATAGAACTTCCATTTCTTTGTATGATTTCTCAACAAAAGGAGTGCAGAAGCAAGTGTTTTCCGTTAAGCCAAACAGCAAAGAGATCTGCAAAATATAAAACCCTGCTACTCCTCTCGCTAGATTTCATGAAAGGGGTTTTCATTAAAAAACAAACAAACAGGGCCTCCCCGGTGGCACAGCGGTTGAGCGCTGGGTTGCGAAGCTGCCCGCAGCCTCGGCAGCGCCGGTTTGATCCCCGGCTGCTCCCCAGCCACCGAAGGAGGGTCTCACATGGCGCGCAGACCTCTCCTGCCGCCCGCTGCTCCCCTCAGCAGTGTACTTTGGTCCTGCTGCCTGCTCTGCTCCCCGCTCTGGCTCTGGTGAATTCTCTCACCCTCCTGCGCTTCTGACTGTACCCAGTGCTTGTATAAATAAATAAATAAATCTTAAAACAAACAAACAAACAAAAAAACCCACCACTATGATAATATGTGAAGGGCTTTTATTTATTTTCATATAAATGCCTGATTTTTTTCTGTTCAATTTCTAATAGGATAACTATTGATAAATGTTATTACACATAAACAAAAGTTCTTCAGATTACCAGTTTTTAAAAGTGCAAAGGGCACTGAAAGCTTTCAAAATCACTGACGACACAGAAGAGAAACAGGGCTAGAATGTGAGGGTGGGGAGAGGAAATATACTTCTTAATTTCTGTGTTTGCTTACAAAGTAGAAGCCTAAAAGAAAAGAAGGCTGAAAGGAAGAAGAGATTGTGACGTGCAACAAAACCGGTTTTGAAAAGAAGAGGAAGGAGAGCAAGAAATAAAAGCTGTTCGCCATTCACGGTCCCTAACTCTAAAGTACTTCCCCTTTCAATTATGATATAGACTGTTTCTCAATAACGTGATTCACAATAATGAATGGATTTTAAGGACATTTGTGGCAACAAGGCATGATTTCAATTTTAAAAAATCAGATGAGATGATAAATAGGGGACACACGCACCAAATAACTAAAATGCTCACTCACATAGAGCCCATCTAAGCCCATCTGAGCAGCAGCCAGGGTGTATACAGAAAATTTCTGCACAGAAGCAGTAGCAGTGGTGGTCTGACTCCAGGGCCTGGTGTCCTTCCTTGGAGGTCTCATTGTCCATTAAATGAGTGTTGCCCAGAAATAAAATGCTCAAATCATCCCCAGAAATAAAGGAAACTGAGAATAACCAATTCTGGAAATTTCCTTTGCGAATATATGGCAAACCATAAGTAAACAGAGATCCCAGAGACTGGACTAGATTTGTTGTTTCTCTGACCATCTTCTTTTCCTTGCCCACCCTTTACAAAAACAACACACCTTCAGAATGTGTGAGGCTAAGGAACAATGCACTTCATTTGGGACTCTCTTTAAACAGCCAGAGACAGCTTAAAATAGTGAAAGACTATGGGTTGTTAGATAGCCAAGAACCTGCAGATGATGGAGTCAAAATACACCAGGGGGTGGAGATGATGGCATCAGCAAGAGCCAGGCACCAGAATGGACTTGCTAAAGATCCCTTCTTCGTGGAACACCTCTCTACTCAAGTTGTCTGTGTCCTTTGGCCATCAGAAATCAGGCGGCAGAGCTGAAGAAAGCAAAACTTATAGATGCCTGGCTCCAATTCAAAACTAAGGCAAAATTGGAAATAAGATATAGAAATCTCTGATTAACTCAAACAGGATTCCAGGACTATGTGTGTTTGAGACAATGCTTGTGTTTCCCACAGGAAGAAAAAAGGTCCCATCAATCTCAAAACTGTTACTACCAGTGTTTTCTGAATACCCTTCATCTAATGCCTTACAAATTAAAAGTGAGGATTAGAAATATGGGATTTAGGGCCTCCCTCGTGGCACAGGTGGTTGAGCGCTGCGCAGCCTCTGCAGCGCGGGTTCGATCCCTGCCAGCCGGCGAGAATCCCACATGGTGAAGCAGACCTCTCCTGTCTCGCCTGCTGTTCCCCTCAGCAGTGTATTTCATCAATCTGTCTGTTCTGTTCCCCGCTCTGTCTCTGGTGAATCCTCTCACCATCCCACGCATCTAGCCTGTACCCCGGTTCTTGTATAAAAACAAATAAATCTTTAAAAAAAAAAAAAGAAATATGGGATTTACCTATACAAGCTTTATATACACCCTTGAAACACAAAAGAATGCCTACAATTGTACTTAAGTATCAGAATGAAGACATCATATTGGTAGTTAGGGAATGCAAGTAAACAAAATGGAATGTAAATATACAATGAAATATTATTCAGCCTCAAAAAAAAAAAAAAAAGAAATTCTGACACATGCTAAACACAGATGAAGCTTGGAGCCATTATGATATGTAAAATAAGCCAGACACAAAAACAAAAATACTGGATTCCTTTATATTTGGTATTTAGAGAGTCAAGTTCACAAGAGACAAAATGAATAATAGAAATTACTTGTTTTTGTTTCACTCTGTGGTCTCCAACAATGAATGACGGATTTCAAAGGAGAAGGGGCAAGTTTACCACCAGCTTATTCAATTGGTAAAGACTCAGAAACTGAAAGACAGAAAGAAATCCAAAATTTTTAAATCCATTTTCTATAGTAGGGCAGTGTTTTGGATGCTTTTTGGTAGATGTACCTTACAGTTCAGTCTTTTTCAGATAAGAAAACTAAAGTGCAGAACTTAAATGCACCAAATTACAGTGCTGGGAGCCTAACATGAATTTGAAGCACTTTATCTTGGGTCTCACAGATTGAATATCTATAAAGTCACCCCAAATGACTGGTTTCTTACTGCGTGCCTCTCATCCCATCTTCAGGACTGACCTTACCTTTCTTAACTTTTCTGCACAAGAGCAGTTAGGTTAGTTAGGGGTCCCCAACTCCTGAGCGATAAAGTGTTTGTTTTGACTGTTCCTCAGCCAAGGATCATGGGGAGGGACTGGGGAGGCCCGACGCTGACTGGCTGTGTCATGAGAGCAGAGGCTGGCAGGAAGCCCCACTGCAAGATAAACCACTAAACCAGACTGTACTTCCACAGGTCTGGTTAACTTGGTTTCTCCTTACCTTGACACCTTTTGAAATTGATAGGCATCTGATGTGCTGATTCACTATGTGTTCATCACTGCAGTCATGCTTCTTTTTTCACCTCTTTAGAAACTGGTACTAAATTTATGGTGCTTTTTAGAATGGAATTTAAGAACTAAGGAAATTGTTAATGCTAATAGTTAACAAATACTTTGCCAAGCATTCCATATGTGAAATAGAATTAAATTATATATTATACATTAATATATAGTTGATATATTATAATGTGTTACCTTAATAACATATAAATGTTTTATTATTATATATACCATATAACATGTATTTGTAACACATACAATTATATATTAAAATATGTTATATATTGTACTATATTATAAAACATTAGTTACATATGTTATATATTACATAAACATTAACTACACACAATACATTACATATTTAATAAATATATACATATATATTTAATTCTCACAACAACCCTGTAAGTTACTATTTTTATTATAATTAACAGTTGAAGAAATTGAGGCTTTGGTGCTTTAAATATGGTCATTTGCTCTAGGTTACCAGCTAGAAAGAGGAATTCCCCAGAGGGCTGAACAGCGTTACTTTCTGCCCAAGAAACACTCTGGATCCAGTTATTAACAGCTTCAAATTATACCTCACCTTCTTCATAACATTTCTGGGAGCCATAAAACCTTCCAAACCTCCCTGCAGGTACAAATATTACAAAATCTCCTCCTAAAATCTTCAACCTCAGTTATATGAGAACCCCTTCAAGATCAGAGACCCACTTGTCATCTGAGCTCTGAATGCTCCACTTAAGCAGCTTCATGAACTCGAGTGGCATACTTTAACCACCATTTTCCTTCTATCTAAATTACATTTAGATATACTGGTTGAATTTAAAATTATTGCCAAAGCTAAAAAAACAGCTTTCGCTATATGACATGAATAAAGGTTTTAAAGATGAAATTATATTCAGAAATGAAGGGTATTTTAGTTGGTTACAGAATAAGCCCAGTAAAGCAACAGGCCACTAAGTATGTTATAAATGTGCGCAGGGAAATTCTAAGCAGCACAACTCTGAAACTATTCTGCAATCATATTTGTGCTCAATGGGAAGAGGGGTACTTATTCAAACACTTGTTATGTTTCAATTTTCATTTTCACTTCAAGAATTTTTCTAATTGCAAAAATGAGATAAAATGGCCCCATTTCTCCAACATAAAGCTCTACTTAAAAATGTTTTCAAAGCTACAGTAATGATAATTTCGAAACAAACAAAAAGTCATTATGGTCCCACTCAGTTACACATCATTTTCATGTTCCCTCCTGATACCTATTCAGGGACACTACCTTCAAACATCTTTTCTTAGATGTAACAGCGCTTGAGATTCAGTTTTTTACGATGCTTTATCCATCTGATGGATATCTAAGAGTATTTGTTGTTTGTGTCTCATGGTTGAATACGAAGGGCATTTCCAAATTATATTATTGTAAACATGAGCCACAATGCTTCTGAATATACTCATAGTTTTGTTTTCTCCTGGCTTTCCTTAGAATTCCCAAGACTGGCTTCCTTGGATCAAAACTTAAAACATTTTTATTGTTCTTGATTGCCTTCCAAATGGACTATATTTACTTCTGTCATAAAATGAGTACCATTTTCTCTACATTTACTATAATTACCTTAATTATGTACTACATATTCATATAGTGTATAACTACTTTGTCAGCATTGCAACTGTAAAGTGGTGTATCACAGAGTTTTATTTTTTAATTTCTTTGATTACTAGTGGCTCAATATTTTCTCTTGAGTATGTTTACATGTGAGAAAAAGGGGAGTTTGGTAGCAATTTCGGCTTTGGAGCCAGACTGCCCAGCTCAAATCTGGGCACATTAGTAAGCTCTTTACCTCTCCAAGCTTCAGCTTTCTGCTTTGTTTAAAAAACAATAATTTAAAGCAATTTAATTGGACTATTATAACTTAGAATTTTTAGAAAGAATAGATGAGCCAACCCATAACATGCTTACACTGGTATGTGACGCATAAAAAACCTTAATAGACATTGACAATTTATTCATTATTGTTGCTTATATTTTCCCTCCCCAGACTTTGTTCAAATCTTTAATTAATGCCCAAAGGTAACTTTTTCAGACTCCCCAAATGAAAAACTATTCCAAGTTTACTTTTAAATACCTGAAAACACTCAATTTAATTCCACTCCAAACATCTATTATACAAAACAGATTCCTAGGTTCTGAAGGAAAATACAGACATAATTAATACATCTCCCTGATCCCAAGGAGTTCACACAATGGTTATTTGCTGAGGCTAGGGGAAAATTACAGGCTTGGTCAATACAGTTAAAAACTATTTTGGGAACAATGCCTCCATTGTAGAGCTGAAAGGAAATTTAGAGAGCATCTAGTCTGCTAGAAACACCAGCTCTGGGAGCAATTACCCAGGAGTAGATTCTATGGTCCAATAAATTAAGAGAAATGTAATCATAAAGGAAGACAAAATTCTCTACTTCTGGGGCTTCTTACGTCTTAGCACAGAAACACAGTATTCAGCATTTCCCAAATTCATTGCACCAAGAAAAAATTTCAGATGACCTTATTACCAGATCATGAGGGAAAAATCTAGCTAGATCCACTTTCTCCCTTACCTCACAAGGCAGCTGAAGTGCACATGTGACTTTTCTAAGGGTCAACAATGACTGGAAGGCCAAGGTTAACAGAGCCTGGGACCTCAGTCCACGCAAGCATGTGCCTTACTGCCTCAACTCAATGTGAAACCTCCACCCTAAGTGTGAAACCTGGCATGTCTTTGTGTCAATGTCCATAAAGCCTTGCCTCTTTCAATGCAAATCAAATTTCACAGCCAAAAAAGAAAAAAAAAAAAATCCGTCAAACAAGAAATCTATTACTTTAATTTTTTAAATTATTTTTAAAGATTTATTTTTAAATGCATACAAGAACTGGTGTCTAGGCCAGAGGTGTGGGGTGGCGGGGGGTCGGAGGGCAGTGCAGTTGAGAGGATTCACCAGAGACAGAGTGGGGAGCAGAACAGGCGAATCCACTGAAATACACTGCTGAGGGGAACACCTTGCAAGACAGGAGAGGTCTGCTGCGCCATGTGTGTTAGCTCCCTCGCTGGGGATTCTGGCTGGTGACAGCTTGATACCACTGAGACTTTAACACCTGTGCCACCAGGCAGGCCCAAAGCTATTACTTTTAAATCCTCCCCCACCAAAAGCAGTATTACTGAGCAGTTGACTTTGTAAATCTACCAAAATCATACTCATTATGAAACATGGGTCCCATTCCTAATGATTCCATTTCAGTAGATTACTATCTTCAAAATGGCATCTTCAATATTAAATAAGGTACTTACTTTAAAACTGCTCAATTTGATTTGTGCTTTGTTTATTAAAATGCTATATTTTTACAGCCATGCCTCCTATTTTCGGGAACTCACAAGTTCTCTGACAAAAGGCAGTCGATGACCACACTGTCAGATTGTCTATTACGTACTTTTAAAATTTGCCAGCAATGCCAGGAACTCTGCCTGTGTAGGCTTTCATCTGTAACTGGGGGCTGGGGAAATTAGCTGCCCCCAGTGAAGAAGAGATTCTTGGGGTCACACTCCAGTTGCAGCTACTACTAGTGCTTCAGGCATTTCAAATGCAAAACATAAGCATGAGGGGCATCAGAACTTCCTAGCTGAACTTGGTAATAAATGCAGAAAAAAGGAGGAAGGAGAGGAGACCAGGGAGCTCCATGCACGTGGATGGATCAGGGATATTCGAGAGCCAAGTCCTGCACTTACATCAAAAGGACAAACCTAGCCTGCTAAGTCAATGTGGCCCGTGAGGGTGTCCGAGAGACATGCCTGGTCCAGCTGCTGAACCCAGGACAGTTGTGATTACTTGACTCCAACTGGTGGTCAGCAGAATCCTGCCTACAGTGAACTTTTCTGGCAAGATGCGGTCTAAGCTACACAGGACAGACCTGACCTGAAACTTGGATTTTAACCTTCGCCTTCACCAGCTTAGAAGGGTGGCACCACAATCTGCTTATCAGAAAAAGCAAAGCCAAGGGGTTTGGGCAGGTTCACTGACAACAGCCCTGAGGTGACAAGTTAATAAAAAATAAATCACTTACTTGTCAGGGAGGTAACTGATGTATCACATGATTTCTGGACGTTCCATGCTCTAAGTGACTTGTTTAAAGTTAATGTAGATATTTCAAAAGAAAGATGACAGACACACACACACACACACACACACACACACACACACACACACAGAGCATTCACTATTTTTCAGTTTCAGCACTTATTTTTAGTAGCAATTTTATTTTCTACTCAATAAACATCATGGGGAGCACACCAGGGGGGAAGATAGTTTTAGAGTGACGTTTATGATCAAAACTAATCCTTGAATCTTCACATATATGTCTATAATGTATGTATCGAGGGTACTTCCACTCAAATGGTAAG